TTGAGGTAGGGATATCGCCACCCTTTTTATGATTTTTAACTTAATTATTCGTTATTTCAAACAATATTGAGATTTTGAAAGTTTTTACTACAACAAAAAAGGGTTTTTACGGCGCCAAATACACACTGTGGATATGATTCTATGACGCACAGGGTAACGTCATATTATAACCAGTCATGGAAGTCATTCACTTTCAACGGCATATCGTAGCATGCCGTTAAAACTTTTAACAGTGCATTTTACACATGTTTAATTTTTTTACAACTAATTTTGCTTGCCGTTAATTCAAGAGACAAACTATGACGCTCATTGTTGGTCGTTAAATACTTAACACAACGGCCTATTCTGCCTATCATAGAATATATTTAGTTTTTTTTTATTTTTATTTTTTTATTTTTTAATTCAACAAGTTCTATTTCACTTGTTCTGTACAAGCTAAAAAAACATTACAAACAAGTTTCACAAATATATATACATATATATAAGTATTAATCAATCACCAAAATATTATTTCAATCATCAAAAATACTATTTATAAGTTTCGAACAACCAAAAATTGTCTGTACATTACAAACCATCCAAAAACTATGTTTCTTAACATCAAAAATTGTCTTCAACTTTAAAACCATCCAAAAAGTTCTAAATCATTCCAAAAAAAGAAAAAGAAAAAAAAGAAGCTATCTTTAAGCTCTAAACGGTACAAACTTTATGGATTGATTCAATTGCATCAACACTCGCCTTATGCCATCCATGTCTTTTATATTAGAAAATTCCTAGTAGCTTGGATTTCATCTTCAGAAGTTTCCCTTCTTAGAGCAACCAAGCTTGAAACAACATCAGTAGAAAGAGCATATATTGGATCATAAGCATGGACAAAACACTCCCTTCCAAGAAAATAAGATAGCAGCTCATACTTGCATGAATTAAACTGATTTGTTTACTTCATAATAACAATTATAAAGTTAGCACTTAGCACTAATTTTTGCCTAGGATAGCTCTACTTCCAACTTCTACAAAAATTTCACAAGTTGCCTCTTTGCCACATAGTAAGAAAGACACTGTATATTATTATCTATCAATCTCGTCCTAATCCTATGTAAATGTTTTCAAATTAGTTAACATAATTATACCAAGAAAAATCATGTTGAAGAGGGAAGCAAAATGATGCTCAAGACAAGAGAAATAAAAATTCCTAGTCATTTACTTGCATTACAAATAGCAATGGGGTGTAAATAAAAAAGTTAACATTCATTCAGAAAAATCATGAGAAGACAGCCTTGATAGCATGTTGCCCTCCAATGGACCAAACCCACCACTATGACCATCTAGAGAAAAATTGATAAAAATTTAGACTGAGCCACTCTAAATCATTAACTCTTCCACTAGATTAGTTGCCCAAGTTCAGAAACAACCTTAAGAATGCATTAGCTTGGTGAGTATCATACAAGAAAGCCTGCAATAGTTATTCATCTCCAAAGTACATGAAATATGAAATCACTTTAATAAATAATGACAAAACATATATAATAACTTTAATAAATATTATATATAAAGTATGTAGCTTTGAATTATATTGGTTGCAAAATTGCTTCAAGGAATCCAACAAACAAAAAACCAAACACATGCTATGCTATGTATACTACATAAAATGTCTCTGGAGATGTAAAACATTTAGGACACATGTGATAACCCTGTTCCGTATTATGCTAATGGGTCCTTATTATGAATTTGATTATGTGTTTTGATATGATTTCGTGTGCCATTAGGTGAAAATATGTGGTTTTGAATTTCTATCTGTTCACCGTAGGAATATCTGTTTAATTGTCTGCTTTGGAAATTGAATTGAAGGCCTTATCGGCCACAGAACCTGGAATTGATTGCGCCATTGTGATTGGCATAATTTTTAGAGCATACGGTGAAATTTAATTGAAAACTGATTCAGATCAAATTAAATTGATTTAATTAGTGACTTAATGCTCTATTATTTGATATTAAAATAATATAACAAGAGAGGCTTTTAATATGGGCACTACACACCCAATTTCTCTCCTTTAAGCTTTAGTTGGCTGATCATAAACACTAAGAAGAGGAGAGGGTCGGCTAGAGGGAGAGAGGGTGAAGGAAAATTGAAGTTTTGGCCTCAAAGCTTGGTGATCTTGAAGGCACACTCAAGAATTTACCATAGATTGTAAGGATTAAGCTTCTAGGTGAGTAATCATCCCTTGATTCATAAGTTTGGACTTGTGATTTTGTGTATTCAAGCTAGTTGGGTAATCAAGAGTGAGAATTGACATAATTTGAGTTGTATGTGTTGAAATTAAAGTCAATAGATGCATGCATGTAGGAAATTACTATGAATTTCCATATTTGAACACAATGTGTATAATCTATATTGAATCTTGTTTGAAATCCATGTATTTGATCATCTCTTCACCAATTAAGTTGATATGAATGAATATTTCTCACATGCAAGAGTAGATCATGGAGGTATGAACTTTGCATATTTGAATTTGATGTATTGGTGATGAGTTTGGGTTAATTTGAGGCATGCATGTAAGTAATTAAAGAAATGGAGCTTCATTGTGTTATGATTTGGTGTTGGTATCATGTGGGTATATGTATGTGTGAAATTGGAGCCATAATATGCAAGAAATTGGGTTGAAATGTTCAAATTGAACTCAAGAAACCATTCTGGAAAACCCAGAATTTATGATGTCCGCTCGAGCGGAGGAACCGACACTCGAGCGGGGAATTCATGCTCCCAGTATTTTTGCAGGCATGATGTCCGCTCAAGCGGGGAAGTCCACGCTCAAGCAGGGAGCTATATAGGATGGACTTCCGCTCGAGCGTCCAAGTTCCACGCCCAAGCGTAAAAATGGCACAACCAGTACTTTTGCAGACCTCATGGGTCCGCTCGAGCGAGGAATTCCACGCTCGAGCGGGGACCCTATTTTCTGAAATTTTGAAAATGCATTCTGAGTTTCGTTTTCTGTCCTCTTTCACTTCTAAGTACTCTTAGGCATGCATTGAGCATTGTAATTGAGTTAAGGAGATAAGAATGATGCCTAAAGAGGAATATGTGAATTAAAGAACGGATTGAATTATTTGTGACCCACATGTGTTATGTGATATGTAGGGTCAAGCTCCAGGGCAAATCCACAAGCCGATCACTGTGAGTAATATTGATATTTTGAAGTTTGTCAATTGTCCAATTGCTTATTTCCTTACAAGGTTGCTAGTTTGAATTATGGACAACCGTTTTGATATGAATAATTGGGCCGAAGGCCGTTTTGACATGAATAATTGGGCCAAAGGCCGTTTTGACATGAATGGATGGGCCGAAGGCCGTTTTGACATGAATGGATGGGCTAGAGGCCGTTTTGACAAGAATGATTAAATGGGCCAGAGGCCGTTTCGACAAGAATGAATGGATGGGCCAGAAGCCGTTCTGACAAGAATGAATGGATGGGCCAGAGGCCGTTTTGACATGAATGAATGGGCCAGAGGTCGTTTGGACACGAATGAATGGGCCAAAGGCTAGTTTGACACGAATAACAGTTTGACATGAATAACAGTTTGACACGAATGATAGTTTGATACAAATAACAATTTGACATGAAAGAATGAATGGGCCAAAGGCCAGTTTGTCATCTGAATGGGCCAAAGGCCAGTTTGTCATCTGAATGGGCTAAAGGCTGTTTTGACACAAAAGAAAGTTTGATTGGGCCAAAGGCCAGTTTGACCGGAATAACACTAATGAATTGGGCTCAAGGCCGTATGATGTGTTTGGAACCATAGTTACTTAACTTGCATATGTCTATGTATGTATGTGCTAGTTAGAAATATAAGTTGGGCCCAAGGTCGTTTGATATATATTGTTCCAATGTATATTCTTTATTTGATATTATTCACTGGGCTTTCGCTCATGCTCATTTATGTGTTTGTAGGTGAGCCAAGAGAGGTCCAGACCCAGCCTCAGTGAAGTCTGTTTAGAACAACCTAAGTTTGAAGAGTCAGCCTTGCGTCTCACGCACGAGACACGTCTTCGCCCTTTTGCCATTCTATGTTATTTTGTCATGTTGGCGAGGACTTTGGTGTACGTCTGTATATAGCTTTGTTTTGGCTGACTTAGATTTGAATGATCCTGTCTATATAGAACTTTATGTTACTATACTTTCTGTTGTGAGTTATTAACATATGTATGTATGGAATATTATGATGTGCATATAAGCACGGCTCTATGGACAGTTTTAAATTTGCTTCCGTTTGGCCCCTTTACTCTGATGAGTTTTGTCTTATTTGGTTTGAGGCCGTAGGTAATCTCGTGATTACTGGCCGGTTATGGCCTTAACCCATAGAGACGGGTTCGGGTCGTGACAACACAATTACCCCACTAAAATAAATAATGATAACAGTAACCTCCATATTCCTTTAAATGGGTATTCATGAGCAACCAAATTAAACCTAATTTAATTGGACAGATTCATGAGTTCGAATTGAGTTTTTAACCTTTAAACATAATTCATGCAACCAATTTAAAGTAATCTCATGAACCCAATGCTAAATTGTATAATTCTAAAATTTTCAGCCCTTGAAGTTGTGTTTCGCGCAGCAGATCAGAAAAAACACGAGTAACATCATTCACGAATCAATAATAATCAAGACCTCATACAAATTATTTGGGTTTAGCAGAGGAATTATTTTCCACCAGCTAGACACTTCACTGGTGCAACAAGGCATGCTTGGAATTACAAATTTTGATAAATTTCAATCATTCCATTTATAGACATTGAAACAGGACCAATCCAATAAAAGGGTTTGAACTTCTAATTTAAGTTTTCTAGGAGTTCTTTACAATCTATAAGATTGTTCATGGTAAGTCTAGAAAAGCATTACTAGTGTTTCAACAAGATAGAAAAAAAAATATTTCTGCTCTCAATATATATACATCATGATACAACAACACCTACAAAAAAATATAAATAAATAAATAAATAAAGAAATAAATAAAAATGTGACAAAGAACAGTATGCATATGAATAAACTATCCCCCAAATACTTGTATAGTTTTATTATTAATGCATAAAATGAATTTTTATTTAAGTTTCTAAGGAGTTACATGAATCCACCGTGTTTTGGCTGCACCAACATCGATTTCATTAATCAAATTATCAAAAACAACGTGCAACTATAATTAAGAGTGCTTTCACTTTAATTACCTAAAAATACTCATGGTAGAGCTTAGCACCCTTGGCATGTGACAGTAACATGTTGTGCATTGCAATAAGATGCTCCATGATAGAATTTCCAGATGAACAGTTGTTACAAGGTTCAGAACTATGAGCCAGTGGAAATGATCCCACAAGTAGGCGCTTTCTACAAATAAGTTCGACTCATTGATTGTGATCCAGTACTACACTCGATCCCCAAAATTCTTGAAACAAGTTTCAACAAAATGCACAAAATCTTCCCTACAAAAACACAAACATATATATATATATATATATAGACAAAGATTTAATGATAGAATTTGCAATAAAAATTATATTAAATATTAGGTAGGCACTAACTTGATTGAGAAAAAATAAGTACACAAATTAAACCATAGGAAGCATTATGGGTATTTTTCTGTGATTTAATTCTGTGTACCTAGAATTTTTGAGAGAGAGAGAGAGAGAGAGAGAGAGAGAGAGAGAGAGAGAGAGAATTGGGCATATTGCATAAGAGGACTGAGCCAAGACCCATATTTGTCCTCGAGTTCTTGAGGGAAGTCATTATAATTTATCATCACAAATGGCTCAATTCCTGCATTAATATTTTGCCTCTATTCTGTTAAAATATATTCTTGCTTACAACATGAGGAATTCTCTGAGTAGATTGAAATTTTGCTCACGGTACCTTTGAGCAAAAGATTGTCAATGATTTTGTTATACAACATGATACCAGTTGGATTGACTTCTCCAAATCTTCCTCCTAATAAAGCTCAAGAAGGTCATTAATCAAGTTATATGACCCAATCAAATTATGAGTAACAAATAATAACAGATTATTGGAAAATATACTAGGTAGAACACTGGCCCATGTGATTGAAAATCTGTAAGCATTGACCCCCAAAGAATGCACTAACTCAATGTCCGGTAGTAATCAGAATAAGATAAAATTAGTTTGACGATCTCTTTTCATATCTTTGTTATGCAATTTAAATGTACAGACTAATTATAAAAGAAATGCAAGTCTAATACCAAGTAGCGGCGATAATGACCATTGGCTACATCTCCATTTGCTCTATTTCTTTGGCCACCTAAATGAATTAAACAAACAGTTAGTCAAAAACCAATCATATTACAGTTAGCTTTAGTTGCATTTAGACGAGACCTTCTTCAATTACCTTGAATGCGAGTGAAAACATCCTAGTTGCTGAGACTCTTACCATCTTCAAGAATTGCTCCTTCAATCTATGACAACAATATGGAAAAAGTCTAAGGAAGAGAGAGAGAGAGAGAGAGGACACAATTTAGAAGGCAAGAAGAAGAAGAGACATACTTGGTATGAAGAAGTGGATGTTCCAAAGAAGAAACCATTTGGGAATTGTGATCTTTTGATGTCTTCTGCTTCCTTGAAGCTCTCAACAAAAGAATGAACACAAGAAAAAAAAGGAGAAGAAACCAGAGGTAGAAATGGGTACTTTTGTCTTTCATTTTGGTTTGTTTCAATTTGTTAAAGATTTCAAGATCAGTGTAACTATGAAAAAGTTATGGACATTCTGGCATATTGGCTCATCTATATATATATATATATTTTTTTTTTCATGGGTTTGGTAAAGGGTTAAGGATAAGTGAGTGCTACCCCTTGTAGCCTATAATAGTAGCCACATTGAAGTCCAAAACTTGGATTTGTTGTGAAATAATTATTTTGTTGATGACTAGATATGCAATAATTTAATAGATATAGAACCGATCAACAACCACATCATAGACCATAAAAAAAAAAAAAAAATAGAGCAATACTATAGTTTCAGAACAAAAAGCTAGAAAATGTTCAAAATTCAATATCAATGATCAAGATTAAGGAGTGACCCCACACTGCAACTATAAATGTGCACCGAAGATCTTAAATTATAGTTTAGGTTTTTCTTTTTTCTTTTTTCTTTTTTCTTTTTTCCTTTCCTTTTTTCTTTTTCTTTTTTTTTGGGGTTAGGTTTTTTTGATATGATAAGACTTTTTCAAAAAAATTAGGTAGGGCAATGTGATAGAGCAACAATTTCGATAGCAAGCCTTACCATCTCATATATAGGACCTAGTTATACTCTATTAATCGATTATGTGATTAATTCTCCATCCATAAATTAGTCATCGACTCATCCAAATGAGATGTCACTAGAAGAATATGCACTTTTAGCGACCACTTTCCGCGACCAATATAAAAGTTGGTAGCTAAAAGTTACCTTTTGGCGACCAAATATTAATTAGTCGCAAATGATCATTATTTTTGGTGACCAAATATGAGTTGGTCGCAGAAGGTCATATTTTGGCAACCAAAAAATAAGTTGGTCGCAGAAAGTGGTATGCTTTTGGCGACCAACTACAAATTTGGTCGCGGAAGGTCACATTTTGGCGACCAAAAAATAAGTTGGTCGCGGAAGATAAAAAATAAGTTAGTTATGGAATTGGTGACCAAAATTTTAGTCGCCAAAAGCTTATTTTGCCAGACCAAAAATATTTTAGTTGTCATATATTGAGTTTTGGCTACTAAAACAATTTAATTTCCGAATGAAAAATAAAAAATTGTTTTTTTTCTTTGGCGACCAAAATTTGGTCGCCAAAAACTTATTTTCAGCAACCAAAAAAAATTAGTCACCAAATTAGTACTTTTAGCGACTAATATTTTCGTCGCCGTTGATTGAGATTTGGCGACTAAAAAAGTTCGTCGGCGAAGGTACCTTTTTTGTGACTAATTTGGTCTTTTGGTCGCCAAAAGTTTGGGAGGGAAATTTGAAACATGGAGGCGGGAATTGAAACTTTTTTGCGACAAAAATTTGGTCGTCGATTAAGCAGAGAGTATGTTTGCAATTTACCCATTAATTTGCTTTGCCTTTTCCTTTTCAAACAAAGCCCTATCTAATTCGTTCTTATTCACATCTCTCTCTCTTTCTCTCTCTCTCTCTCAAACCCTCATCCCATGGCTCCAAAAGCCTTTCATCTTCGATATCTAAACCTGTTGCTACACCTTTTCCTCTCCACACCCCTCTTTCTCTCATCCCTAATTTCATTGTTGATTTCATCCCTACTCTCAGAGACTCTGATCGGTGGTTTGTGGATTTCGTCCCCGACAGTTTCGATCCCTAATCTGATCTCTCTCGACAGCTATTTCAGCAATTTCAATCACAGGTTTGATCGATTAATTAATTATTCATTTGAGCTAAAATTTACACGAAATCGATGATGTTTTTATGTCTTCGATTCATTCATTTTTAGTTCATTTCTTGTAAATGTATAGTTGAGAAATTTAGACGAACAATCGTCCTTTTTTGATGCTTTTTCCGCTTCTCACAGTTCATATTTCTTTTTGTGTGTTTCGGCATGACATTGATTCGAGAGATTGTGTTTCTTTAGTTTGTTTGCTTGCAACTCGCATTGTTTGGTTTCAATTTATACTTGAATTTGGTTTTTTGAACATTAGGATCTATTATTGTAACATTGATCTGTGGATTTTTTTTTTCTAATTATTTTAGAGAACAAATTATTTTAGTTCTAAGTGACATGGTTCTATTTTTAGATCAACTTTTACTCAAATTTATCTGGAAATCAACTTTGACATAGTTCAGATTGTAGGAAGAGGTGAAGATTGGGTTCCATCTTTTGATCTTGAGCTGTTCCACTTACACAATTTTATTTATATAAAAAATTAAATATTTATAGGTTTCTATAGTTTGTTTCTCTGAACTTCTGTACTACTCTACATGTCAAACAAAACATGAACTGTTCCGCTCCATCATAATTTGAATTTATGTAAAGTTGTTTTGGGAATTGATTATTTTAATTAGCTTTTTAGTATTTTACGAAAAGACCTACAGAAAAGGAAAGAGAATAGTTGATTTTTTTGTAGTGACTTTTTGGCTATTTAGTATGTTGCAAAATTAAAGTATGAAGCCTACTACATAATAGGGGAACTCAAAGAAAATAGCAAACAAAAATTTAACATTAATAGGACAGAAAATTGTTGTCATTAAAACTCAAACATACAATAAAATAGAAAGAAGAAACAGTTTTGAACTCACTAATATGAATTTTAAGCAGGTATGCTATTAAGCATTAAATAAGAAACAAGATGAGACTGACAACCATCTTAACACAAGCAACCACACAAAGAGCTTGTTTGGGAGTTGGCTTTTTTAGTGGTTTTTTAATAATTTTTTTTAGTGGTATTGTTCTATTATTCATCAATATGAGCACAATAATAGTAGCTTACGTGATGACTTTTTACTACTTATTTTTAGAAATTAGAAATGCAATTGGCTTTTTTTTTGTTTTGAGGCAAATCATTGTTTGGTGAAGGCAATGCATCTTCTTTTATAGATTATTTTTTGGTTATGGTTGGAGCCAAAGATTATCAGATAGCTTGTTGCTTCCTTAATTTCTATTTTGCTCATTAAAATGATTTGGTGCTTGAATTGAAGAGTATCCCACCTATTTAAAGCATTTGGTTCCTTGATTCCAAGGCAATGAATGCATGCTGTTTTGGTTACCCACATAATAAAGTTTAGCCATTTATTAATTCTAATTGGAGTCAGCTAAGTCATGCAGTCTTTAGTTTAATTTGTATTGGTTGTATCAATGGATTTAATTTGTATTGGTCATATTTAAGCAAAAATAAGGAACATATAAATAACAAACTAGAAACATTCATGTACTCATGTAACTTGCTCCATCTTTTTATTTTTTATTTTTTTATTTTCATGGTTTCTTAGCGATAAACATATCACTCATGACCATTGACCACTTGATGCCACTTCATAATTATTTTTATCATCAAACTCTGTATTTATTATGCATATGAGATCTCTCTTCTTTCTCAGACTAGTTTATGATAAACAGCTCTGGCTTCGAGATTGAATTTCCAATATCATTGTTCAGCATGGAAGAGGTAAACAATTTGAATAGTAGGTGACAATCTATTTGATACCTAGGCAAAATATTGAGTTTGTAAATAGAAAATACAAATTCATCATTTTTGGAGTACAGAAAAACCAATGCTTAGATCAAATTCTATAGTCTTCTACAAAACACATTTTGAAATTCACCAAAATACAACTATAAGCTAAATCAAAAACCATAAAGGAAGGTCCAATTGCTAAAAATATATAGAAATGAAATGATTCTACTGCCGTTTATAAAGAGAAAATATGTCTTACCTGTTAGGTGGAATCATACTCCCCTCTTGCCGGCAGGCTGTTTTCCATTGCCGGTTCATCTCACAGCATGTTGTGTACAAAATCATAACAACAATTACCAATGGCATCATCAATATTCTCATTCTCTTTTAAAATGTTCGCAGAGATCATTTTCAATAAAACTGACTTTTGGTAAAGATGGTTGTTAGTAAAATAAAGACTAGATTGTGAGAATATTGTCTTCTTATAACTTGTTCATTTCTTTTTTTGTAGGATATTAGCAGTCCAATTTTGTTGAATGCCATCAAAGGTATAAAAACACTTTATAAATGTCATAAACACTCTAAATAATTGCATTTTCTTGGCATTGAAAATAAGTTACAACTTTGATTGCATTGCAGCATTCTCTCCCTTGAAAATTGGATTGGGTGGTACTTTGCAAGACAAAGTCATATATGAAAGTGTTGGCGTGCCATGTACACAATTTGTTTTACATAGTGCAGAGATATTTGGCTTCACTCAATGATGCCTGATGTGTTTATTTATAGTTGAGAAATTCACTTATTCATGAAGGACGTGAAACTTGTGAATCATTTTGTGATCCCAATGAAGACAATGATTATGATAATGGAGGCTTTGATTTTGGTCCATCTGATTTTGACATGCCAGAGAATGCATATGAGTATGAAGAAGTACCTCTGTAGCCTTAAAAGGTTAGGCAGACCTCTAGTATATTTAGATATATTTATATCACAAAGTTGGCAATAACAAAATCGGCATTTATGTTGCATTGCTCATTTGTTGATATTTATGCAGAATGATGATGGTGGTGTTCATTTTGAAACCAATGAACATGAAGATCCAAGTACTCAAGCCAGCCTGGAAGATCTTTGTCGATCTCACCTAGTAAGATTAGATTTCTCTGATATGTGATGTGATGAAAATTGATTGTTATATTGCATAATTTGTCTACTACCTTTTGTTTGATTATTGTTGGAGCAGTAATTTGTTTGTAACCTGTGTTCCTGAATTTAGGATGTTGTCCTTGCTAGCATTGCTGAAACTGAGAAACAGACTGAGTTGGCTGCTCGTGTCTCAACGTGGAAACAAAGAATTGAAAATAATTTGAAGGACCAAGCAAGTGCCATCATTTTTACTCTTTTTTTTTTCTTCCCCTTGCACATCCAAAACTTAACTATTTTGAATTTCAGTTTTGTGTCATGTTGGACTTCAAAGAGGATATAGCTTTTGAGAAGACATGCTTACTAAATTCAATTTGACTTGAATATGCCCTGTGCTGCACTACGGTTACATATTTTCATCTTTATTTTAAATGGAATTCAATTATAGTTTGATGATTTAGTGAAGTTACAGGAAAGGAAATTTGTTAATTATTGTTCCTAAGCTTTTTCTTCCTCAAATGTTATTGTTCCTTAATTATGGTTGGGTTGAATGAATTTTGTTCAATATTGGATTGAATATTTAAAAACAAAAATTGATTGTTCTCAACAAAAAAAAAAAAGAAAAAAAAAAGAGATTTGGCGACTAAAAAATTGGTCGGCAAATTCTACACTTTTGCGACTAAAATCAT